GTTTGACGCCGAGTGGGGCCGGGGCCCTCCCAGCGCCGCCGCCCCCCAGGTGAGCGCGGGGCGTCTCGGGGCGCTGCAGCGGGAGGAGGCTCCCGGCGGGGTCGGACCCGCCTTTGCCCCATGGGCTTTGCACCCCGCGCCGCCGCTCGGAGGGGCGGCTGCTGGCGGGTCTTTGCCCGCGGCCAGGACACTCATGCCCCCCAAGGCAGCCAGGAGGGGTGGAGGCCCCCCCTTGGGGCAACAGCGGGGCCGAACTGCGTTTCTGCCCCGCGCCCACTGCACCTGCACCTGCACCACTCCCGGCCTGTGCTGCCTGCTCCGCCCCCAGGACCTCCAAGGGGCACCTCTGGGGCGCTACAACTGAGACACATGCAGTTCAATCGCACCGGGGTGTTTGGGGTGCATGGGGTCCGGACGACGCAGACAGCCAAGCTCAATGACCCCTATTAAGTCCCTGCAAATGAACACTTTGCCTTGGAGCAATCGGGACTTACTCAATTTAATTGCTGTTTAAGCCCCACTGTGGGGCTGGTCCTAGACAGGCAAGTGACTCTCAGTATTGTCTGTTTTTAGCCTAAAGGGCCCTGGTTTGAGGGACCAGGCAGGGCTTTTTGATATGCCATATTGCTATCTGGGCTAAAGCCCCCCAAGTAGAGCTGTAACCCACATTGGTGATGGAGGCCAGGAGGGCATGTCCCTGATTACTTGAGACAACTCCAAAACAAAACAGGGATGGGAGTGAGGGTCCTAGGTTCAAAACGAGCATGCTAAGGGGGACATCAAGCAGAGCACACTGCACAGTGGCCACTGGCCTTCAAACAAGTCCAAGGAGCCAGTGGACACTGCCCAGTGAAACTCCCTGGAGACATGAACGGGCAAGGGACAGGAAAAGCAGACCCGTAGTCCCCAGGGATCCTCCCAGCCAGAGCCTCCTTCCTGGTGAGAAAATTGCTAACGTGGCAGATGGGGAGTGCATAAATGAAAAGATGCAGGGAGTAGTGCAGCCAGAACCTGAGCAGGAGGTGGCGAAGGGGCTGCAGCCTGGCGTGCACCAGCGCCTCCCTCTGCTTGCAGAGGGAGCAGATGTTGGGGGCATCTCTAAACTGCACAGATACACACCCGCAGCGACAGCTCCGTGGAGGATGGGACTTGGCAGGCAGCAGTACCTACAACTGCCGCAGAGCCATTCCTTTCCCAGTCCTCCTGTCCCCATCTAGCAGGCAGGGGGCAGCCCACTGGAATCAGAAGGGGAGGGACAGCAGGGGGCTGTGGGATACTGGTGGCCAGGACCTGTCCACATATTAAATTTGTCCTGTGAATTCTTGTTGGCAAGTCTTTAAAGGCCCCTCCATCCATATAAATCTAGTTTTAGTCATAGTTGCATCATGTAAGTCAGGGGTCAGCCACCTTTGGTTATCACAAGCTGAAAATCTGAAGTACCCAAGCTGCTTGCATTTACCTTGACTGCAATCCCCATCCCCTTTGCAGCAAGGCTAAGCTCAAGAGGGCAGCAGTGAGAGCTGTGGAGTAGATGGATGGTGTGGGTGCAACTGTGTGCTTCCTGATTTCCCTGTGCCAGTTCAAACCTTTGTGAGCTGGTCACAAGCTCCTCACACTCCAGATCCAGTACTTTGGCTGTAGATTGCCCATGATGTAATCCAGTGTGGCCTACCTGCCATAGGTGGCACAGGCATCCTCTTTGTGCGGCACATGGTAGATCAGGGAGGGGGGAGGCAGAACAAGGGCAGAGCGGGTAGGAGCAGAAAGCAGAGCAGCAGTTTGAGCAGGGGGAGTGGACGAAAATGGCATTCAGAAAGGGCACAGGGCTTAATCTGTGGCATTCCTGCCAAAAAAGGCTGGCCCCCACTAGTCTAAACTATATATTTTATAAATAGACAAACGTTTGCCTACCTTCAGGGCAGATATTGGAACTATTTGTTGGCTTACTCCTGCAGTCTTCTAAAATACTAGGAGAACCTTCTTTATGTCAAATTAGTTCTTCTAATTTCAGTGATTAGTT